GCAAACACAAATCACTTTTGGGTTCCTGAAATTACTGAAGCTTCACCACTTGACGAACATTTCGCGCCGGTCGATCACTGCAGCCCGCTTCAGCAATTTGCAGTTGTACCCGACTTTTGTCCTTCACTGGAAAAATTTATGAAATGGTCTATGCAGCCTTTCAGTTTGATATCTTGAACACTTCGTAGTAGCGTGTCAAGACAATTAGCGACAGGGAACCAAAATGAGGGGAAATGAGTATTTAATAATGCTGCTATTCTGCCAGCTATTTCATGAGTAACAGCGTAGTCGCCAGTTGCCAGCACTATTTCTACGCGCGTCAACATAAAACAGGCAGTCTGCATCTCACCTGGTGTGGTCGGTGGGTGCTGCCCCGGCCACGGATGCTGCCCCGACCGCGGGGCTGCCCCGACCGCGGGGCTGCCCCGGCTACGGGTGCTGCGCCGACGGCGCCGAGGCGGGCCACCAGCGCAGCGCCCCGAGCAGCTCGGCCTCGGTGGCGGGTGGATGAGCGGCGCTGAGCTGGAGCTGGAGCTGGCGCGTCTCCCGCAGCGACTCGCGGTAGGGCGGCGGCTCGGCCGGGTAGCTGTGCGCCGCGCTGGTCAGCGGCGCCGGCAGCGGCGGCTGGAAGGCTGCGGGCCCCGGGGGCCGACAGCGGTAACCGTACGGCGGCGGCGGCTCGCAGCGGGCCGGCGCCGCCGCCAGCAGCTCGCTCAGGCCCTGGATGTAGTCGATGGCGCCGCGCAGCGTGTCCACCTTGCTGATCTTCTTGCTCTTCGGCGCCGCCGGGAGGTGCGCGCGCAGCACGGCGAAGCCCTGGTTGACCTGTTTGACGCGGTTGCGCTCGCGCGCGTTGCGCCGGTTGTTGATCACCGGGCCGCCCTTGTTGAGGTTCATGGCGAGCTGGCGGCGCGCCTTACCCGGCTCGCCGTCCTTGTTGATGGGTCGCAACGGCCGCTGCGGGGTGGGCGTGCGCGTGGTGCTGTGCGGGCTCAGCACCTCCGTCTTGATGTGGATCTTGCTGTGCGGGCTCACCACGGCGTAAATGGTCGCCATGGCCGCCGTCTGGCGAGGTCGTGACCTCGGCTGAGGTGCCTCACCTTGAAAGCTGACCTGAAAGCTGACCTCCCGCGATGCGGCGGAGGTCAGGCGGAGCTCCGCGGGCTGCGGGCGAGGTGCGATGGAAGCTGAGGCGCGGCCGGTCACGGGGGCGGGCGGAGCCGGGCGGGCGCGTGCCGTCGCTTCCGCCGCACTTCCGACAGTGGCCCAGTGGTGGCGCGTGCCGGCTCGCGTGCCGCCGCCGCGACCAATGGCGGCATGTGCGCCGCGACCATCTGCCCCTGGGAGAGGGGGACAGGCGGCCCGCGCCAGCCGCCTTTTGTGCCGCGGGAAGGGGGGGGGGGGGGCGCGCCGGGCGTGACGCCCCGCCGCCGGGCCGCCGGCATAAGCCAACCTGCGCCAGGGCGGGGTTACTCTCCGACGCCCTGGGGCACACACAGGTCAGGGGTCAACCGGCGGGCGGCCGCGCGCCCGGAGAGAGACGGAAGAGGCCGAGACCGGCGTTGTATCCGGGCCGGCAGACGGGGAGAGGGCAGGTGGTCCGGAACACCTGCCCTCTCCCCGTCTCCCCTCCCGGCGAGCGCGTTTTGCCATCAGCTGTGCCATTAGCCCAGTCCCCCCCCACACACACCCCACCGTGTATTGCAATGCGTCCGCGTCGGCGCCCACACAAAAATAAAACGCCCTTTGTGGGCCGGCTTCGCGAGCTGCCCAGGGGGAAGCCGGCGGTCTGGCGGTCCCGCCGCGGACACGCAGCGGCCAGTGTTGATAGCCATCTCGTCTCGGATAGCCACCGTAAAACTCGTGGCGTAAAACTCCCAGCTCACGTCCAACCGCTGCTCAATTTCGACCTTCAAGGGCGTATACGAAACAAGTTGCAGAACTGGCCGGGCATAAACCGGATATAGAGACAGTAGCTGGCTGTTTTTTCGTTTTGTTCGTTTGTCGTTGTTTTTTGTCATGCCCATGTGTGGTATGTGTACTGCAAGAGACAAATCACGTTGCCATACGTTCATCAGAGAAACATCTTTTCACCATCACAAACGCACAGAGCTCATTATCACTTCGCTCAGGCTCGTTTTTTCATGCTATTAACGTTTGAACTTAAAATCATTATCTACAGGCATAAGCTGCGTGGCTGATAAACATGCCAACTGTGCGAGATAAAAACCTACAATTTAGGTATTGAAATTTTGAGCGTTGAAATTGTTTAATAATTTTGTTAGCGTTTCCGAAAACGTTGCAGGGTAGGGTCAGGAAGCACAAAAAAAGGCGTCGACCGCTCTACTCTGTCAGCTGATTTGGGTACACTAATGCAGTGTGGCATAACAGGAGCCACTGAGTGCCTCGAACTGCCTCCCTTGTTTAGGGATATCCTAAATCTGCTGCTCACAAACGCAGCTGGCCGATGTCTTCTAACGATCTTATCAGTGCTATAACAAGGTTATCAGTCATCGTAGACTTGTGGGAATCTATTTGTCCGGTTCTAGACATACCTGATTCAAACGCTGAACTTTCGAAATAGTTTGCTTCGCTTCTGAAATCATCATTTCTGACAACGTTAAGCATGTTGTACGTCTAAGTACCTTTTTAAGCTAGGTGAGTATAGTTGATTACATCCCGGCTTTAGCCAGATGTGACATCCCCCAGCCCGTTCCCTTTAACTGTAGCTTATGTGGGTCGGAAATACTCAACACGGATGCTCCGATGCATGGCTCATGCGCTAGTCGATTGCAATGACAAAGTATGTAGTACTACATACTATGATTTATTCTATTTTACCCAGGGTAATCCTGCTTGTACCGTCCTGTTCTGCTTTTCCCTTCCTAAGTGCGCGTTTGGTCTTGTGTGTGAAACTTGTGTGTGTTAAAACAAAGTTAGCATTTCATCGGTTGTTTAAGGCGCTGGAACAATATTGGATGAATAGTTCTTTAAACCATTTCAGAGAGTCAAACTCCTCCCTCCCCCCGTAAAACTCGAATGCAGTCTACCTCATGAAAACACAAATTCATTTGATACGAAAAAATAATTTATAGGATGAGCGCATGCAGGGAAAACACGTGCTTAGCCTGCGTGCCCGGGCATTAAAGGCGAACACTCTTGTGCCTATCAAGTTAAAACGTCTGCTTACACTTTGGCTGACATCAACATCCAGGAGGGACTCCCTTTGCACACCACTGACCTTTTTGGTGTGATGATGATGATGACGCTAAATGAGCTCCCAACGGCAGCGTTTGATCGTTGCCGGCTGGCGCGGGAGGTTTTTCAAATTTTCAGAGGAAATTCAGTTTAAATTGGTGTGTCTGCAGAGCTCAGTTCAGTGTTTATCTACATAATTTCATCAGTTAAAAACCAACAGTTTCATCGATGAAGAACCCCAAATGTTTCCGCGATATTTTTATACAACGTAATTTGGACCAGTGCGACGGTGACGAGGAAGTGGCGCACCTCGCTTCACGGTTTGGAGCTTACCGGGTCACGTTTCACGGAGGTCATCAGAAGGTCGTCACTGATCTTGCGCGTACTTGAATCGAGTGACATAGGGGCGCGCAAAAATGCTCGCGATATGCCGCCAAAGGATGTCCAGACAGCCATGCGACAGCAGTGGTGCCTGCCGGACCTCAGCAGGCGGGCCAGATGGACCTTCGCCCGTTATCTCGGCATAGTTGCCTTATCTCGCAGGCAGCGCGTTGGCACTGGCCGGACCGCATGCGTCAGCGGCAGGTGACGGTGAGATGCTGGCGATGCGACCACGTACTGGCTGGTTGGCAGGAAGACGCCGTGAAAAACGCGCCGGCTCGTGAGGCGCCGCTCGCGATAAGACCGCAAAGGGGACGGACGGGGTAGCGGTCACCTCTGGTGCTGAAGCGGCTCCTCTGCTTCCTTGTGTGGCCTCCCTGGACAGCAGGGGTAGCGGTCACCTCCGGTGCTGGAGCGACTACCTGGCCTCCTCGTGCAACCTGCCTGAAGGGCAGCAGTAGCGGTCACCTCTGGCGCTAGAGCGACTCCCAGCGTCCTCGTCCGACCTCCCTGGAGGGCAGGGGCAGCCATCACCTCTAGTGCTGGCGCGACTCCCTGGCTGCCTCGTGTGGCCCCTCTGGAGTGCAGGGGTAGTGGTCACCTCTGGCACTAGAGCGACTCCCAGCGTCCTCGTGCGGCCTCCCTGAAGGGCAGGGGCAGCGGTCACATGCAGTACTGGCGCGAATCCCGGCTTCTTCGTATGACCTCCCTGGAGGGCAGGACCATCTCTGGACGAAGCCGGTGCGGGTGCCACTGCAATCGCGACGAAGCTGCGGTCGGCCGAGGTGACCGATACGTGCGGACAATTCAGGCTAGGTCAACAAAGGCTATTTCTTTGTGACAGTTCACTTTACGTCGGAAGAATTACAACGGGGAAGGGTAAAACCTGGTCGCCGCTTAACAGGGCTCCGCGGAGGCAGTAGTCAGGGGCGCGGCTGAGCGTCTACGTCCGTCTGCCTTCCGTCGAGGTTGATACGCTTGAGTACGCCTGCTGCAGTGGCGAAAGTCCTGGTAGCTGAAGCCTTGTTATTGGATTACCCACGGCTGGACGATTGCCTGGACATAGCGCGACATACAGAGTGAGGTGATAACGCTGATAGTGTTAGCTTCGGCGTCTACGTCGGTGGCTTGTCAAGCAACTGTGGAAACGATCTCTAACCATCAGATCAAGATTCCGACAATTTCACATGCCTATGTTCGGTCAAGCCCGAGGTCTAAGGCTAGAACCAGTCCTAAACCTGAGTTCCAGTTCAACCCTGCATAACCAGGGAAGCCTTAGCCCCGTCCCCTTCCCGCCCGATATTTTTGGGCACAGATTTAAAGCCACCATACGCAGTGCGTTGAAATCGTTAGCATCTGAGCCTTTGCAGTTTTGCGCATGCTGTGAAAATCTCAAGATCTCTCATGTGATAGCTCACGAGCATTGACCGGTTTGTCGCGTTTGTCGTAAATTATACTCTATCCTGTCCAACTATAGGTTGATGTTATCCTGTGCAATCGAAGTAGGTCAGCTCATCCAGTGTCGTCCTGGACGAAAGTCACCAAATGCAGATTATTGTGGAGGTACTTTTGACATTTCACGACCCGGTTTAGCATTTGTTGGATCGCATTTGAGCCGGTATGGATTCAGGTTGACTGGCGCTACCCTGTGTCGTGCGCCCCGGTATCCTGCCATGATTAAATCTGAACACAGTGGAATATCGCCCTTGAACATAATGCTTGGGTTGTATGACACGATTTGGTATATTGTCACTGGACACATCCAGCCATGGGCTACTTAAAGTGCATTACTCCGTGTGCCAAAACTTATGCAACGTCATTTTCCCACTGCCATGGCCCGTATAGTGCTGAAGATAAAGGAGAGGTCTAAATCTACCAATGTTATCCCGCTTACCTGGGTACAGCGTGACACGAGCTGTCTGCTACCGTTCGCTTTTAGATTTTGCAGAAATATTGCGGAGATCACATGGGGAGCTTCGAGCTCATCAGCGCACGAATGGGAAAGGGACGCCGAGTAAGAAGCCCATAAGAGCGCGAATGTAAGAAAGCACCCGCCTGATAAACAGTGAACGGATAAACTCCCTTAATATCATGGCTCTTCGCAACACGCTTGGAGCTGGCACTTCATCCCCACTCTGGCCATCGGCCGCAACTCCTGACCTTAACCGAAGTGATATAGTTGAGCTTTGAGTCTTCTGCCGAACCAAGGTGTAAAGTTGCTCTGACCGCTTCCTACATCCGTCGCCTTGGGATTTATTACCTGCCATAGTTACCAATCATTTCGATGATAAGCCCAGTTCCCTTCTTGCGTCGCTGATTACAGCCCGTGCAGGATAATACACATGTGTGTGTGTGTGTGTGTGTGTGTGTGTGTGTGTGTGTGTGTGTGTGTGTGTGTGTGTGTGTGTGTGTGTGTGTGTGTGTGTGTGCGTGTGTGTGTGTGTGTGTGTGTGTGTGTGTGTGTGTGTGTGTCGATGTCGATGATAAGCCCAGTTCCCTTCTTGCGTCGCTGATTACAGCCTGTGCAGGATAATACACACATGTGTGTGTGTGTGTGTGTGTGTGTGTGTGTGTGTGTGTGTGCGTGTGTGTGTGTGTGCGTGTGTGTGCGCGTGTGTGTGTGTGTGTGTGTGTGTGTGCGTGTGGTGTGTGTGTGTGTGT